CGTGCTTGACCTGCTCTCAGACCCCACTTCCCAGCTCTCCTCTCCAGCCACACGGATCTTGCCCCTCCTGTTCCTGCCACATTCTGCTTCCGTCTGCCTGGGGGGCTTTGCACGTGCTCCAACGCTCTTTCCTCCAATAGCCATGTGTTGGCCTCCCTACTTCCTGTGGGGTCTCTGCTCAAGAGTCCCTGCCCACCCTGGGTAAAACAACACTGCCCACCAGGTGGTCTAGCCTCTTTCCCTGCTTTTTCTCCTTCATGGGACTGAGCACCATAGGTGACTGATTCATAATTGGGCGGCGGGGGGGGGGGGGCGGTGGTCTCAGTACCACCCATAGCGGAACGTCAACTCCAGGAGGATGGGACTTGGGTCATTTTGTTTCCTGCCATGTTCCAACCACCTGGAACCCTGCCTGGCGTGTGGTGGGTGATCAGTCAATGGGTGTTAAAGGAGTGACTCCTGATCCCTGAAAGCATCCAGGGGCAGGCTTATCTCCAGACAGGCCTGGGGTACAGTCCTGGTTCTGTCATTTACCAGGTCACTCTCCTCAGTCTCAGCTCTCACGGGGCTGTCCTGAGGATTAAGATGGGGTGTGAGTTCCAGTGTAGCACCTGACAGGTGGTGGGTGGGGCAGGGAGGTTCGCTCTGGACCACACCGCCCGCACCGGAGTGCAGGGTGGGGGGTGCCAGGTGGTCTGGTGGCTGCTCGGCACTGCTTCCCTTCCCTTCTAGATGCCCTCTTGTATCTCAGGGCTAGACTCCTATAAACCACTTTCCCACTTCCCTTTGTGGGCAGACTCCGAGCGGCTTCTGCCCGTGAGACCAGATCACATGAGAGCTGGAGGTGAGTGGGCCCTGGGATCCCTGGCAGCAAATTGCCCCACCCCAGCCTTCCCTGATTCCCTGAACCTTTTCAGGGGCCTCCTTCACTCCCCTAGCCCTGCCAGTGGTTTTGTGAGCTGAATCTCTTTATTAAGAGATTCATTTCCTACTTGAAACAGCTAGGGTAGAACGTTTTCTTAACTGAATCCCAAATGGACAAGAAAGTCTCTCGAGTTTTCGCAGAGGGCATGTTTCGATGGTGGGGACAAGCCAGCATGTGCACTTGAGTGGCATCAGGGTAGAAGCTGGTGGGACATTTGCCACCAGGAAAGGTGGGGGGGTCTCCCCTGGGGGGGAGACTGGTCCCCCCCCGCCCCCCCCCCACAGAGCAGGCCTCACAGCAACAAGGACAGAGGGACAGCCCCAGCGGGTGGTGTTTTCAGCACCTTACAAACATGAAGTATTCGTTAACTCATTCTCTCCTCACAACACCCCAACTTGGACAGTACTGCTCTTGTCCACTTCACCGGAGAGGAGACCCAGACCCGGACTAGGAAGTCGTTCACACGGCTAAGAAGCGGCCAAGCTGAGACCCCGGCGCAGGCTGCTAGAGGGGCGTGCTGGTCAGCACAGCTCTTGGTTTTCTTAGGCCTTGTGCCAGCCCCTCTGGCTGCAGAGCAGACCTTGGGGCTCGAGGAGGGGGCTGAAGAGGGAGATGATGAGCAGACACTCGTTCCATGCCTTGGAATTCACCAGGCACTTTCTCCAGCCCTTCTTATAATCCTTCCATTTCCCCACAAGCCCTCGGACCTCGAGCACAAGTATGAGGAAGGGACTTCTCCCTCTGGGGTGGAGGACTGAGCATGGGGCCCGCAGAAAAATCTATGGCTGGAATTGCAGCTCTGCGTGACTAACTGCCCACACAACCTGGGGGGAGTCCTTTCCCTCTGTGGGCCTCAGCGTCCCAGGTATAAACAAAGGGGGTGGCCCGGAGGACCATTAGGGGCTCTTCTGGCACTGACATTCTAGAATCCTGCTTTAAAGGCATTTTGAAAACCAAGATCTTTGGTCTGGGCGGCGGAGGAGACCACACACTTTACCAAACCAGGCGGGGCTGTGTGTGGCGGAGACCTAGGGCGCCAGGCCCAGCGGAACTGGGGGAGCTTGCCGTAGGACGGGTCTGCCTTCAGACAGATAGCCTGCGAAGTGCACCATGGTGCCACAGAGGCTGGTCTCGCCCCCTCTCTCAGCGGGTTCTCACAGGAAGCCAGCTGGCCGTCCCCTTTTTGGTCACTGACGGCCACTCGCTGCCAGGTGCTATGCTGGGCACTGGGACCATAGGTGTCTCAAACACAGGCCTTGGCTGCCCAGAGCTCAGGGTAACCAAGGCAATCTCCAACCTCTGTACGCTCCTTCAAGGCCCAGTAGGAACACTCCCCTCTTCCAGAAGCCCTTGCTGGCTTCCTCAGCTCTGACTTCCCACGTCCCCATGGTGTGAGGCAAACCTACGTCATGCCCAGCTCTCCAGGGCACCGTGACCCACAACCCCTGGACTGCGAAGAGATCAGGGCAGGCCCTCGAAGCCCCACCCCATGCGGGGGCTCAGCAGGTGCGGTCAGAATTGTTGCTTGGCAACCAAGACTTGTGACACAGCTCACATCTGTCCTGGGAAGCAAAGGCACCAACCTGATCCAGCACCTGTGTGCTGGGGGTTCAGCTCAGAAGCTCCTAATAAGCAAGCAAGGTATTGTCCAAATGTTCCAAGTGACCCACAGAGAGAGGCAGAGCCACACCGGGACAGTGAACACACAGGCTTTGAATCCCAGGCCTGCCTCTTACCATCTGTGGGAGGCTGGCAGGTCACATAAGCTCTGTGAGCCTCAGTTTCATTGTCTTTAAAATGGGCTTATAACGCTTGCTAGCACAGTCACTGTGCAGCAGCTTTGATTAGCTAACGTGTGCAGGTGCAGCCGGTGTTCCGGAAAGGTGTTCCCCTCCCTGGCGCCTCTGAGGCCGCCGTTCACCACTAGCCACACACTGAGTCTGCCCCCAGAGGACACCTTCCCCCTCTGAGGGACCCCAAAGCTCATTCTGGCCACCCCCCTTCCCTGCCTGCCCCAGGCTGGGCAATGCCTACTGGGGGCAATACATGGTGCCGATGCCAAGTCCTAGACCGGGCATGTCCAGAGCAACAGCCCCGAAGGGCAGCTACCTAGTGAGAGCAGGAAGGATGTGTTTGGACCTGTCTGGAAGACGGCCCCTACTTTGGGCGCCTAGCCTGGCCCAGGCCCCACTACTCTGCCCATGGAGACACCCATAGGCCAGCAGCTCCCATCTGCCCCATGGGAGAGGCTGCCCATTTCTGGGCATGGGCCACTCGGCTCGGCTTTGCCCTCCACTCCACGGGGTGGGTAGTGCTATGGAAATAAGCACTGGAGTCAGACAGACTCCTTACTGGCTGTGAGACTTTGGCCAATTCATATATCCTCCCTGAGGCTCCGTTGTCTCATCTTGAAAATGGGACTAGGACCACCCACCTCACTGCACGGTTGTCAGAACTAGTATCACAGCATCAGATGTTGGTGTAAAGGACCTAACGGGGCCCGGCATGTATAAAGCACTGGAGAAAGGCTCCCGTCCTAACAGGTAAGCAGGCCACCTGTTGTGATCTGTACACATGGGGTGGCAGGAGGAGGAAGGCCAGAGCCAAGGGCACAGAATCTACCCCGATTCCCCTTCTGGGCTTGTTGAGAAGTCCTTGGAGAGATTTAACTGGGATGGCATCTCCTCCTGGGAGAGGAGACCTCGACATCCACCCGGTGAAGCTGAAGGTCCCATCAAATCTGAAAGGCGACTTTGTTCTTCCTGGCTTTATCCGTTACGCATGAAAGAGCAGACGGCGGGTGCTCAGGATTCATAATTTGAGACATCCGGAGACTAAAGACACTGGCCAAATTTAAACCGAAAGATGAACTTGTTGGGTGTCTTTTCAGATTATGGGAGAAGAAAGGAGAGAATTTCTTAGTCATCTATGATCCACTCAGAATTCACAGTGAGTCGGCCTGACATCAGAGGGCCCCGCCTCTGGGTTCCGGACATTTTACATATCACTGTTTGAAAGGGACAAAGAGATACGTGTTGGAGGAGACCCCCACTGGAGCCCGAAGAGAGGGGTCTTTCTGTGGCCGGCACCGTGGGGCTCACAGGAGGCCACGGGCAGCACGACTACAGGTGTGGCTCCAGGGAGGTCAGGAGGCGGTGGGGTCAGGGGCACACAGATCTGAGTCTGGCCTATGGCTCTAAAGTGCTGGGCGCACGACTGCCTTCCTCCCTAGCCTGGGTGCTGCAGCAGTAAAAGGAGCTAAAAGCACTGGGCCCGGAGGAGATCAAGTTCGGCACGGCCCCAGGCACACAGGAAGAGCTCAGTGACCTGCTGTCGGTTGTACTTTGACTTCCTCAAATGTATTGGGTCCAAATGCCTTTTGCTCTGAGATAAACTTTGAGCCTTCTCAATAGCCACCAATGACATAATGGTTACCCGAGTCACAGAAACCAGGGAGGTGGGAGGGGTGGAGCTTGCGGCAGCCTTTTCCCAAATGGGGAAGCTGAGGCTTAAGGAAAGAAGGGACCGATCCAGTGTCACAGCCTGAGTGAGGCCTTGGGTCTCCCACATCACTAAAACACTTTCCACCATCCCCCACCTTGGTCCCCACTCACACCAAAGCCGCAGTCTGGAGTCCACTTGGACCCTGTCTGAACTGCCAGCCCCAGCACTTGACCCCCAGGCCTGGGTTGTGTTCAGCACAGAGTTGGCTAAATGAACGCATGTCGAGGACCCACGTAAGAATGTGACGGAGATGATGGGCATCCTCCCCAAGAAAAATGCACACGTGGACCCACACATAATCATATGCACATTCCATGGGTTCACAGACTCCTGGCCAGGAGGCCCCACCCTAGGTTTCCACTGCCCTGGATTGCTGGTGCAGCCCCGAGCTCTCCGGGGATGACCTCGCCACACACCCACATCTGCTGGGTGCGAAGTGGTCCCACTGGGCTTCTACCAGGGGACCACAGACCATTACCCCTGCCATGCCTTGGCCTGTGGTCACTGCCACTGCAGCCCCTAAAGGCAGGAGCGCTCCCACCCGGCCACAGGCCACTCCCTCCAAGTGCTCTTTGTATTTCAAAAAGAGAACCTTTATTACTTAGTCTTCCTCATTAGAATGTCTTTTGCAGCAACACAAAGCAAAGCACAAGACTCATGTGCAGACACATGGGAGCACAGACAGCCTGTCAGCCAGGGACCCACACAAAGGCCAAGTCCGGTTCTCTCCCTCACACACACACACACACACACACACACACACACACACAGCACGGCCTCTTGGGGCTTCTGGACCCTTGTGCCAGGGACAGCCGGTGTCGGGCCCTAACCTTGCTGCCTCGTAATAAATCCAGGGGCCAGTACCAAGGTCTGGGGTGGGCAGCAAGGTGCGGGCGCTGGGCAAGGAAAGGAACTGATCCCCGTATTCTGACAGACACTCTACAGATGCCACCCCACCCCTTGGCCAGGCACTTCTGTCTCTGTGCTCCGATTCAAGTGCGTAGAGAAGTAGATTCTGAGAAAGGGTGTGTGTTTTTCCTGGGCTGGTGAAACCTGCTACCATCAGTGCCTTGAGCTCAGTAAAGCCAGGCCTGGGAGCTACCCCCAGGGGGAGAGGGCACTTGGCAGCTTTGCTGGGAGCCCCGGGGGCGGGGCGGGGGGGGGGGTGGGGGGGGAGGGAGCGGGAGGAGGACAGGAGACAGAGACAGACTCAGCTGCCATGCGCCGACCCAGGGGTCAGGGTCGGGAACGAAGAAGAGTGTGATGCTTCGGCGTCTAGTTTGGTTTCACCCTCCAAATTAGCATCAACTTTCATTCCACGCAAATCGGCAGCCAGCCAGCGAGCAGGGCGCGGAGGCTCAAGCCAGTTGTCTGTGGAAAGGCACCAGATGGTTTGTTATGAAACACATTTTGGTCAGAAAAGAGCTGGGGTTTTTGGTTCCTGGGAGGACAACAAAGCCAGAAAGAAGGGAGGTATGAGCCGGGAGAGGCAACTTTGGCATCAGATCTGGTTCTACTCTGCCGTCCACCCCTTCCACACTCGGGGCCTGTCTCCTCTGTAAAATGGCGACAAGAGTCCTGACCAAGGCTCGGTGTTCGGCGCTACACACTGTCCCCGGAGGCGTGGGGAATCGGGGCTCAGAGACACCCACGCGGACGAGACAGGAAGAGCGGGCACGTGCCCGTCCAACTCGGGGAGGAGAGTGGGTTGGGGAATCCTGACGGAGAGACTCTGGGGACCCGTAGGCAGCCAGGTCCACTGGTTCCGAGCCCCGACGGGGACCACCTTGTGGAAGGGCAGACAGAAAGCTCTATGTAATGCAGCACCATCGAGGAGCCCCTGGGGGCCGCACCTGCCGTGTGCGCTTTAAAGTGCCAGCTACACATTGTCTTTGGTCAGCGGCTGCCCCTCTGCGGGGAGCCCCGGGGCGGGGGCGCAAGCCCAGGCCCGCGGGGCCCCGGCCGAAGGCACACTTGAGGACGCAGCGTTCTGCTGAGGCTGCGGGACCCTCCTGTGCTAAGGAGTGGGGGCGCCGCCAGGGAAATCTGGGTCCTTAGAAAGAGAGAAGGGACAAGAAATGCTTTGGTCACCGTCCTGACACCCGCAGCAGAGCAGAGCTCGCTCTAGAGAGGGCAGAAAGCTGGTTAAAACATGCGCTCGTGCCTGACGCAAATCCAGCTTCCGAGCTGAACCAGGAGTCGCTGAATAAATACCCAAGGCGCCCTTCCGTTCCTACAGAAAGAGTGGGGCTAAAAGAGAATTTTCTCCTCCCTCCCTGCTTGACTGGGCGCAGCTGTGATTCGCAGGATGACGGTGCCGTCACCCAGCAGAGGGTGGCTGGGGGTCCTGGCGCCGGCCCCACGCTGCCACCACTGGCGCTGGTCTGTGTCACGTGTCCCACCAGCCCCGGGGCGCTCAGAAGCTGAAGAGATCATCCTGCTCAGCGCCGCTGCTGTCAGGCTTGTCCCAGTCGACAGGTGAGTGGCACTGGGCGTAACGGATGTCCTGTGCTGTCAATCCAGTGTCCAGGACCTGAGGGTTTGTCCGAGACTGCGCAAGCCTGGAAAGCAGAGCTCTGTGAGCCCGGGGCCCCCAAAGGGGGCTGGGGGGGGCCTGAGCAGCCAGTCCTGGGGCGGAAGTGAGAGGGCACGGGTGGGAGAAGGCCAGGACTCAGGGGCCAGAGAAGACAGTCCTGGATGTCAGGACGGGTGGCCCCTCTGACCAGAGTCTACCCTTGAGGACCAAACGGCTCAGAAAACTGTGGGGCAGGCAGGGGCATTCCCACCATGGAGAGAGGGGACAGGGGAGCCACCCCTACCCCAACTCCACCCAGAAAGAGGGGGAAGGGCAGCGCTCGTGTGGCAGTGAGGGGCACACGTGTGGTGGGGGCGGTGCAACCAGGAGCGGATCACCGACCAGACCTGTTACAGGAAGGAAGACAACCTAAGGATCCAAAGACTAGGGGAGAGGTAAGTAAATTACAGCTCAGGTCCTTAGAAGAAGGTGAGGCAGTCAATAAATGAGGTGTTTATAAGGAGTTTTTAACAGCCTGGGGGAATGCTCCTGATAGGTCAGTGTTCAGTGAAAATCAGGATTCCCAAATGCAAATACCATCATGAGTGATCAAGGCAAAAAGAAAAAAAAATGTATATGTATAGGATTAGCATGAATTAAGCCCAAAAGTCTGGGCTGTGGGATTATAGGATGGTGTTATTTCCTGTTTAATGCTTTGCTGATTTTCAAAGTTGTTAATAAAGGGCATAGGATACTTAAGTAATCTGGAAAAAGCAAATGGAAGATTTTCTTAAAATGAGGGGGTTGCAGTCAGCAGGAAGACAATAAAAAGAATGTCTTTGCCTCCCTGAAAGGGCCATCTATGCTGACTCCCCACCTTCCCAGGCTGGGCCCAGGGGTTTCTAGCAGGTTCCGGCAGGGAGGGGTTGGGGAGGAAGGAGAGGGCTGCAGGGGGCTGCCCAAGGTCCCCAGGGAGACAGGGGCACCTGACTGACCAGGCCCAGTGCTCAGAACCCTGGGCTGCCCAGGGCTTTCTCCAGCCCAGCCTTCTCGGGGCCATGTCCCCAAGCTAGCACCACGGTAGCCATTGCTACCGGGCTGGCCCCTGGGAAGATGGGGAAAGGCCACCACCCTCAGACAAGACCAAAATATCTCCTTGCTGTGCCTGACATTCCTCCTCTATGTATCGCTCCACGGTTTCATCAAGCATTACCTCCTCCCTGCCCCTTTCCACAACTGCAAAACCTCTGGAGGGAACAAAACCTGCAAAAAGCCAGGTTTGGAAGGCTCCACCAGGTGTAGGAAGAGGGAATCAACCTGAGGGGCAGAGTGTTTAGTTCATCTCAGATTGTGGCAGAGAAGCCACTAGGAATAGTTTTTGATTCAACAGCAAGAGCCTTTTAGCAGACCTGGCCAACCCCAGAAAGTGAGTTCCCCAACCCAGGAGGTATTCAAGTTGAGATTTTTTGCTCTGGAAAAGGTCAGAGTTCATGTTCTCAGATATGGCAAAGGACCCCAGAGACCAGCCCACAAATGCCAGGCCCTCTTCCCCAGCACAAGGAGCCCAGCTAATGTTACCTTGAAAATGCTTCATCCAGGCCGTCATCCAGCTCCTTGGGGAAAAACAAAGCAGGAGATACGAACCCTCAGTGGGGGAGCCCGTGCTCACAGCCAGGGGCTAGCCCAGCCCTGGGTAAGCTTTGGGGACTTGGGACACAAGCGTAGGAGTCTGGTGAGTGCCTGGTGAACAGGCACACACGTCTCAACCCGCGGGCCCAAACCTGGGGTGCGGAACAGGAGAAAGGATCCGGGTGGGTAGAATTCCCAGCTCAGCCACCATTCAAGGGACACCTTGGGCAAGCTGCTGCTCCTCTCTGGGACTCAGCTTGTCCTTCCGTAAAATGAGGGGGTTGGACTGGATGAGGTAGATGGCTTTTAAGTTCCAAGAGCAAAGAGGGTAGGGAAGAAGGTTTTCTTGCTTTCATCCACTTCCAAGCTCCTGAGGGATAACCGATGGCAGGAACCCCGCAGCTTAGGTGGGAAAACAATGGGCGGGGCTCCCTGCAGCCTCCCTGAGCAGATGGGTGGGTGCTAAGGGAGTTTCCCAAGCAGCAGAGAACGGGCTCCTGATGCCTACTCGAGGGGGCCATATCGAACGGGATTTGAGTTTCCCGAGTCCGTCACCATTCCAGATATTTTACAATTAGAAATGTGTGATTCTGCAAGTGATCCGAGAGCAGAAAAGGGACGTGCAGTGGACACGTGGGGAAATGTGACTGTGGCCTGTGATGATCTAAAGGCATCGGATTGATGGTAATGATTTCCATCACTGTAACGTGCTTGTGTGCGATGCTGATATGTGGAGAATGTGGATGAGAGGTGAACAGGAATGCTTTGTACTGTTTTTATAATGTTTTTGTAAGTCTGAAATTATTTTCAAGTGAAAAAAATTTTTAAATTTTTAATTAAAAAAACCCAGTTTCCTCTGGGAGATTCTGCAGGCAGAGGTCATCATCCCTGTTGAGGGGATGAAAAAGCTGAGACACAGAGCGAGTCAGGGCCCAACCGCTGACCGCCAGGCCTCAGCCTCCTCCTTCAGATGGCGGAGCAGGGAGGGTGTTGGGAGCAAACTGTGCCCACGCCAAGAACAAGGGAGCCTTTGCCTGGTCCTGTGGTGGGCCGAGCCATGGGCGCTCAGACCAAGAGGCTGTGCATTGTGAGGAGACAGCTGTGCTGGGAGCCAAGCCTGCTGGGGAGGCAGCCCTGAGTTCAAAGGGACATTGTTTGCCCCCCACCCTGGGCCTGGGCGCTGCTGGGCTGAGTCTGGCCCTCCCAAAGGACTGAAGTCATGGGTGCCAGGGCCTGGGCCCTAGAGAAGCCTTAGGCCTCAACCAGGGATCAGGCGGAGGCTCGCTGGATCCCGGTGGGGTCCCCAAGCCACATGACCACTCACCCAGACAACACTGCTATTGTTCAAGGCTTGAGGCCTCGGTGCCTCGTCCATGTTAGTGGTATTAGAGCTGACTGTGGACAGCGGGGCCTTGGCCGTCTCTTCCAAGTCCAGCAGGTTCCCAGTGGCAACCACTATGAGGGGTCCGGTCAGGTGTGTCAGTAGGAGGAGCCTCCTGGTTCCAGGCCTCATCTCCCAGCCCCGTCCCGGAGGCTCCCAGGCTATCCTGGTCCTGACTCTGTCCTCAGGCATGGCCTTCCCAGGCCTATCGACCAGACCACCCAGAGCCCCACCCGAGCCCCACCTGAGCACCTCCTGAAGCAGCTGGACGGCAGCCCACAGGGTGAGAATCTCACCCCAACTAATGTTTTAGGCTGAAATTTTTACATTCACAACAGGTGTTAAGTTTTTAACACCTGTTCACATAATAAGATGTTAGATGTACAGAAAGAGATGTATACATATATTTATATAGTTGCATAGAGACATATTTGGAAGAACATGCACCAAAATGAGCAATCTTTCCCTTTATCTACATTTTCTAATTTATCTATGATGAGCATGTATTATTTATTTAACAACAAAACAAAAATAAAATGCCAAGGGTTTGCCCCAGCCCAGGAGGGAGTGAGTAGGGCCCTCTGGATAAAGGGCAGACCTGGATCATGCAGCTGATTCTGGCCCCACCCCCTGCCCAAGACTCACGGCTCTTCAACGACGGGGTGCTGTCTCGGAGGCCCCCGCCCAGGATGTCCCCTCCCTCTTGGCTGGCTTTGTCCCTCTTCTCCTTCTCTGTGGGACCAAGGCACAGAGCGTTGCAGGCCCCGCCCCCAGCAATCGCTGGACAGGGGCAGCCAGCAGCCAACGTGGGCGGGGGGCAGGCATTAGGTCTCCAGCAGGGAGGAAGGAAACTGCAGATTTGACCCTCACAAGCACCCTGGGGGAGGGAGACAGCTGTTCCCATTTCTTTGCAGGGGGACAATGAGACTCAGGCAGGTGAAGTGAGCTCTCCAAAGTCACACCCCAGGTAGGCAAGGAAGAGGGGAGTTGGGCCTGGACTCCAGGGCCTTTACCACCCACTCCCCACTCCTCCCTCCCTGCCAGCCTTCCCCCGTTCCACCTCCACCCCCTACAGTGTCCCTGAACAAGACTCACCTTCCTTGGACGCCTGCCAAAACTCAAAGGCGACTTTGAAGGCCTGGGCTACTGTGAGGGTGACAGCCTGGGCCTGAAAAACAGGAAACAGGGTGGGGGGGGGTGCCTGTTAGGCAGGTAACAGCAAGTCTGAAATGCGGGCCTGAGGCTCCGCTCCGCCAAGGCTCCGAACCGAACCGGCAGGTGGGTGAAGGCAGAGTCCCGGCCCCTCCCTGGTCACCAAGCAGCCCTGCAGTGTAACAAGGCCGCGCCCTCTCCAGACAGATGGGGCCACATCCTCAGCACCAGCAGCCCAGCCAAGATTCCTGCCTCTGTTCCAGCCCCCACGTTTGCAAAGGCTGTTCGCCTCCATTTTTTCCCCCTTTCCTTTGGGCTTCTCTATATTCAAATAACTAGGGGCTGGCTTCTTCCAAGAAGCCCCCCTCTAATTACCCGAGTACTTCACACAGTAACTGAGCCCTTGGAATGAGAGAGCAGAAAAGCCAGAACTGGAAAGGGCCTGGCCACTGCCTGAATGACCAACAGCCAGAGGCAAAGGTTCGACTCTGGTTAGCCCTATGCCAGGTCGGAGGGACTTCTAACTGGATCCACTATGGCAATGCGTGCCTGTGGCAGGGGACCAAAACCATTCAGTGACGTAACTCACCGGGAAGAGGGGGCCACCCCTTGGCCCTTTACCCCTGAGGAACTCCCATGCACCCCTTCACACCCATCTCAGATGTCACCAGCTCTCTCAGGTCACCTGCACTGGGGCCCCACAGGCCCACCTACCTCTCTCTGGCATCATGCCTATCAAAGTGTCAGCAGCTCACATGCCTGTGACACCCCATCTGGGTGCTCCCTAAAGGCAAGAACCTGGTCTAAACACCCTGACCCTCCAGAGCAGGCCACGCCCTCCAGAGGTGCAACGCTGCATCTGCCTAAGGGGCCAGCCTCCTGAGGCCTCCCTCAGCCAGGACCTCACCCCAGCCCACATTCATCGCAGCCTCTTCCTCGCTCTGCTTCCAGTTCAGGGTTAATCACAGCTCAGCTGCTGGGCTGTGGGAGTCCCAGAGCTCAGCTGTAGCCGGAAGCGACATCCAGCTTCCCTCTGACAGCCCAAGCCTAGGGAGGAAAGCACGAGATTCTTCCAAGTGCACAATAAGTTCAGGCCTAACCAGCCTCAGACCCACTCCCTTTCCCTCCACCAGACGACTTGATTTAATTGAGAAATGAATCTGTGGCTACTGCCTTTAAAACTCTTTTTTCTAAAATTTAAAATCCTTAAACAAGCTGACTGATCCATGCCAATTAAACTTCATGAAGTATAAAAATCTCATTTGAATCTCTCCGTCATTTACATTTTTGATGCAAGTACGGGTGCTTTATAGCAAAACTTAAATATGGTAATTAAGTATGAAACTCTTCACAGCTGTTTACAATTTAAGCTGTCACGTCTGAATCAAGTTTAATAGACCCAGTTACCATTGAGAATTGCCCATGAACTAAAAATATGGGCTGATTACCAGCCGGAGTCAGCTCACTATACACCCAAGACAGGGCCGGTCACCTAACATGGCAGGGAGATGGAAATACCATTATTTTTGCCTCCAGAATATCTGGGGCATGAACCTGATACTGTTTTTGCATAAATCTACTTGTTCATTTGCATACATTTCTGCCCTTTCGCCCCGAAATCCCAAGCTGCAAGTAAACCAAATATAACCCAAGATGCACATGTGCGCAGGTGGCTGCAAGCCCAGGCTGGGCAGGGACTGGGGGTGGGGTGGGCCCTGCTCTCTGGGGCGGCTGCAGGAATCTGGGCAGCATTACAAGAAAGGACTGCTCGAGTCGGCCCACGGGGAGGTCTTCCTTCCCTGATCCCACAGGCTAAATGCTTATCCTTCCCAGGAGTGCCTCTGGCCTGTGAGTCTCTCAGCACCTGAACTGGGTTCTACCTCACCCAGTTTTTCATGTCTCTGGCTTGTTCCCAGTAACCAGGCTGTGAGTTCCTTCAAGGGGCCAGGTCTAGCTCAGGACCCCCCAGGATTCCAGATCCCAGCCTAGTACATAGACCAAGTCCGGCCGCGGGTCCCTTATGGCCCTGCTGCCCCAGAAGCACAAATCCTGCACAGAGGGATTACCTGAGGAATGCCGATGGCCATGTACGGGATAATAGCCCTGCCCCAGCGTGCCCGGGGTAGAATCAGGGGCGTCACTTTGTTTCCTGTCAGTCCACCTGCACTGCAACCCTGGGCCCCCCATCAAAGCCGGCAACCCCACCTTCACTTCAGAACCCTGAGGCTGCAGTGCTGGTGGAGGCCTCCCGGTTGGGCAGATAGAAGCATTTCTTTCTGGAGGAACTCATCCTGGCCATGCCCAGTAGAAGTCACCAGGGGAGGGAGGCCTGGTGGCTGTGCTGCCCGAGCTGAGCGGGACGGGTGGGCGACCCAGAAAGGAACCCCTTCCCCTCCACCCTGGGTGGTCACCGACTTCTCGCCCAGAGAAAGGGTGGGGATGTGTGGAGACTGTGGGCCCCCAGCCAAAGGCAACGAGGGCTAGGTCAGCATGCAAATTCAAGTTTCCCCTGCAGGCTGACTCTACTTTGCCACCCACCCCAGCTCCAGTCACATCTGGGTCCTCAACCACCAATCATACCATTTAATTCTGCACCTGTGTCTTTGCGTGTGCTGACTCCTATGCTGGGGTGCATGCGCTCTTTCACTGCCCCGCCCCTTCTCTCGGCCAGCAAACTCTTACTTATTACTCAGCCCTCAAAGCTTGATTCAAAATGTCTCCTTCTCTGGGAAGCCTTCCCTGGAAGCAGGGAAGCCTTACTGACCTCTGGTGAGACTTACTGACCTCCACCCTAGAACTGAGCCCACTGTGTTCCAGTTACCAAATCCTGGCCCTTCTCCCCTACCATCTTGTTGGTATCTCCACAGCCGATTCCCTGGGTCCCTGGTGCCCAACACAGGGCTTAGCCCGGGACAGGCAGCAGCGGACATCTGTGGAGGCACCTGGCCACTGGGGGGGTTGCAGAACCTGAGGCCCCCATCTCACCTTCTGCCTCCTTCTCAGAAATGTCCACTAAGCCCTGAGAATCTCAGGATTTCCAACATGGCCAGGATTTCCTACTGCCAACTTGGGCTGAGCAGAGGCCCGGGGGAGGGACGAGAATACCACTCTCACATCGGGTGGCCTATTGACCATGTCCTGCCCTGGGCTGTCTGAAGGGGGAAAGCCAGCTGAGAAAGGGTGGATAAGCCGGTAGTCGAGCTAGTCAGCTCCTGACACAGGGCAAAGTGTGTGAGGAAAAGTGAAGAGCCTGGGCCCAGGTGTCCAGCAGTAGCCATGCCCCCTGCCGGACCAGGGTTCAGCTGCCAGTGCCAAGCGCCAAGCAGCGGGCAGGCTGTTTTCCTCAATAACTGACCTCTTGGCCTGGGCCAGGCTGATTTTGTTCAAGCTTGTCTAAAGTCCTCTGGCCCCAGACCAGGCCTCCCTTCAGCCACTGGGCCAGCATCCGCTTTCTTTTACCCCCTAGCTCCTCTTCCCAGAGGAAGCCTCTGGAGCGTGGCGCCCCTCCTGCCCAGGGTCCGCACCCGGCAGCAGTGGCTGTGGGCCACCGCTGCCCCTGCCCAGTGCCTGCTCTGGTCAGTGGGAGGAAGAGACAAACAATGGGGACATAATGAGCCTGTATTTTTAAGTCTCTGTGGCCTCATAAGAGACAAAGCCAAGAGTCACTGTCTGTGAGAACAAAGCCGTCATGGGAGAAGCCACTGCAGCCCGGGGACCCGGGGCATCACGAGGCCCTGGGTGAGTGGCTGGCGACACTGAGTCTGCAGGAAAGAAACAAGGTACACAAAAGAAAAGGGGCCTTTCAGAGCAATCCTGGAGGTCACTGAGGTGACCTTCATTCTGCTGATGGGCAAGCAGCCCAGAGAAGGGCAGGGTCTTATCCACAGTCACACAGCACAGGAGCCAGGACCAAACCCCTAATCTGTCTCGTCCTGCAGGGCTCCCTCCAAAAGACCTGTGGGAGGCTGAACCGTGGCCCCCAAAGATGTCCACATCCTAACCCCTGGAACCTGTGAGGGTTAGCTGGAATGGCAAAGGGGACTTCACAGACATGATTAAGTTAAGGATTTTGAGATGGGAGGTTATCCTGGATTACCCAGGGGGCCCACTCACAACAGGCCTTCTAAGAGGGAGGCAGGAGGGTCAGAGCCAGTGACAATGGACTGTGACAACGGAAGCAGGAGGAAGTCTGGGAGGTGCTGCACTGCTGGCCCTCGGGTTGAAGAAGGCGCCAGGAACCAGGGAACGGTGGCCTCTAGAAAATTTAAAAAGGGCAAGGAAACGTATTCTCCCCTGGAACCTCCAAAAGGACAACTCTGCTGACCCACTTTAGACTTCTGACCTCCAGAACTGTTAAGAGAATAAATTTGGGTTGTTTTAAACCACTAAGTTTGTGGCAACTTCTTACAGCAGCTATTGGAAACTAATACCGTATCTCGAGCAGGCCCTGATGGGTGGCAGGAAGCCTGGGGGCCACTTAAAGACTGTGCTGTCCTTGATGTGTTCGTGAGGAGAGGAGCAGGGGAGAGGATCTTGTCTCCTTGGTTCCAAGGACCACAGGGTATGGGGAGGAGGGCTCTGGGCTCCATACGGAGGTCAACAGAGGCCAACACTAAACCAATAAACGTCAGAAATCTCCTCACAGAGCAGATGTTCAGATCTCCAGGCCTCCGAAACAAAAGCATCAACACCAAAGGTGGACTCACTCTGCCTGCTTGTCCCAAAGTTCAAGACAAAGCCCAGAGACCACAGAGGTCCCCCCTTGTCTCAGCTGGATGGGGCAAGGGGGTTAGCCTGGAAATGGGACAAGGAGCTCAGGGCTCCTTGCGGCCATGTGGGGAGGGGAAGAAACATGGGTTTAAACCCTCGCTCTGCCCGGCCGGCTGTGTCATCTTCAGCAAGACAGCTGACCTCTGTGAATCTGCTTCCTCAGTGAAAATAAAAACAGCGAAGCCAGAAGCAGCTGCTGCCTCACAGAGCTATGAGGACTAAAGTCCACCACTGAAAGAGGCGCATGGGAGGTGCCAAAAAATGGCCATTTCCCTCCCCACTCTGGCTACAGCGAGCCAGGTCGCCTTGCCTTTCCCCTGGGCCCTCTGATCACCAGTCTCCAAGGACTAATTCCTACAAGGCCCTGAACCCCCAGACCGTCCTACTGACAGGAGAGTGCCCCCCCCATTCAAATCCAATCAAGCATGTTAGAGAGGAAGGGACCAGGGCACTCACTGCTGACATGGGCTTGTCACCGCCCACAAGCCAGGCTTACTCGGTGCTCTCAGCATCCACGTGGGATTCCCAGGAATTTCATACTTCATAGTAAGTGATGTCACCTCTGGGTCCTGCCTCCCCCCCCGCAAAGGCAGGGCTGCCAAGGCCAGAGCCTGCCTGGGCCCCAGCCTCTTCCCACTGACCAGTTTCCGCTTGGTGCAGAGGAAGGCATGGCACTCAAGATTCTCATTGTGCTGGCTCTGTGCAATGTAGGCAAACACTTTGTCGTGCATCTTGTCTGCTGTGCAATAGGAGATCCTGAAAGGCAAGTGGGAAGTGTCACCAAACCCGGCACAGGGGCCTGCCCACATCCGGGGTGCCCCACAGGGCATCTCCCCTGAGTGCCCGAGAGCCAGCTATCCTACTCTACCGGGGGAGACTCTGGCTTTGGCCTCTGGACCTGGCATTCTGGGCCATCGATGGGGGGCACCCAAGCTAGGCAGGAAGGAGTGGAGGGTACTCCCCCCCTCTACTGAGTCATATCCCAAAATGGTAATAGCTATGCCTCCCCGAGCTTAAGGTTCCAAGGGCTGGGCTCTGCCTCCTCTAGATATGACTTATTCTCAGAGTTGCCCTGAGATGGGTTCTATTATTATTCCCACTTTTCAGGTGAGAAAACCGAAGCTAATGGTCAGATCACCAGGAGAGTGGCAGACCTGAGACCTGCACTCACCTGCAGATTCCAGAGGCTGTAAGCACTGCCATGCTACCCTTCCGGGTCTGTGCTGACCACACGGAAGGGGGAGCAGGACACCGCCCCGCCCACCGATGCCCTTCACCGGCCTTCCCTCCCCGACCTCCAGTCATGCCCCTGCCCAGAGGTTGGAGGAGCCCCAGGCCCTCTCTCCCAGGGTGTGGTCAGAGGTCGAGGAGCTGGGAGTCAGGTGAGGATGTGTGAAGATGACCAGCCCGGGAGGCCCAGCGGGTCCAGGAGGAATACACCGCAGCTCCCTCCTCTTGGAACACTTGCCCCCACACCCCTCCTCGTCTGTTCCCTCCCTGCCAGCTACTCAGCCCGGGAATCTCCATCAGCAGAGGAACTGGGATGGGAAAGGAGCTCAGCAAACTCCTCCCCCAGTGCTCCCGGCTTCCCTCACAGCCACTGACACAGGGATCGGCACCACTTAGGACCCCCAGGCCAGCAGCTACCTCTTCTCCACCCCAGTGGATCCAGCCTCCTGCCACCTCCCCGGGGAGGCCTTGCCAGGTCTCCCCAAGACAGGCCCCTCCTTCTCTGCCCTCCTTGCTGGCAGGGGCTGGGTCTGAGGCCTCCCCTAGTCAAAGGAGGCAGGCAGAATCAGGAAGGTGAGGGGAAGACACCAGCCAAAAACTCTAAAACCAACCCCCCACCCCACCCCCCAGGACTGGCTTGTGCTCCAGGGGATTGAGCCATGTGCCTGGAGAAAAAGCAAGAGGGTGGAGGAGCGCCCGGCAGCTGAGTGCCTGCTGGACAGAGCTCCAGCCTCCGTGCCCTGGTCCCAGCTCAGCCACTACTTCACTGTGGGGCCTTGGGTAACTCCCCAGGCCTCAGCTTCTCCATCTGTAAAATGGACTGTCCCTTCCAGCACTGAAATCCTACAACTGACCAGCCAAGAGAGGGAATGGGGAGAATTTAAGGTTCCAAGGGCTGGGCTCTGCCTCCCTGAGAACAGTGCCCTCCCCCCTGCCCCCCCATACCATCTACGCTCTGGCCTCCGACTCTGCCCTAAGGCCTCCCTGAATGCCTGGCCAGATGTCCAGAGCTGAGCTGCTTACGTTCACAGCTCTCGGCACCAAGCCTGACTCAGCAGCACGCCTGGGGAGGGGTGGCAGGGAGGGGGTCCTAGCCCTGAGTAGGCCTCAGCTGCCTCCTGCAACTCGGAATAATGACAGCAGCAACTGCCCTTTAACCAAGTGCCCACTGTGAGCCAGGCACTGTGCACCCAGCACTTCCTAACAGCACTGAGAGGCAGGGTTTGTTTCCATCCCCCCCCAACACACACGAGGAAACTGAGGCCCCAAGGTCACCGAGACAGAAAGTGGTGGAGCCTGGATTCAGAAGGGGCGCCCCACCCACTGCCCCCAAGTGGCAGAGTGAATGTGGGCGACACTGAGCATACCTGTAAATGGACACATTCTCAATGAGCTGGTTGGTGATGTTGTCAGTCAGGATAATCCCCCGTGGCGACACCTTGAGGGTCACTTTCTGCAGCTTCTTCCCGCTGGCCTTGGCCTTGGGGTAGATGTGGGTCAGAGAACCTGCCTGCCCCACTTGGGACCTACTCTCATGGGCTACACCTAGCTAGTCTAAGCCCCAGACTCAAGGCCCCCGGGAGGCCTCAGCGTAGAGACGCAGACACGCTGGGGAAGACAGCCGTCAGCCCACTCTTGTGATAAACCCAGGGACAACCACTGCCCACGGAGCGCCTGCTGTCTGCCAGGCCCTGGACCTCGAGTCGTCCTGAGAGGCAACAGAGCTTCTCCTGAGGAGGAAATGGGACTCAGAGGTTAAGGGAGCTGCCCAAGGACACACAGCTAGGAGGGACTGCAGCATCTGAGCACTGAGTGGGCTATCACAACCCAGCAGGGTCACTCCCGGGGACTCTCCACTCCACCCACTATATGGCGAGGGTCTGAGCTGAGGGGTCCAAGGCCACCAAGGGAGGTGCATTTATAGGGCCATGCTTACTCAGGATGGCCAGCTGGGGAGGGTGGAGATCTGTCTCTGGTGGGTTACCCTGTCCCTCAGACCAGGGGACAAGTGGTTGCATGACAGCAACCTCCCCACTACTCCTTGGCACTAAGTCACCAACCCTGAGACAGGGGACCTGAGTTGGGGGAGGGGAGACTGGGAGAGGCCATGGCCACAACAGCTGGGGAGGAGGACATTGACCCTGACCCCACAAGCCCAGTGGCTCCCCTCTACCAGAGTCCCTAAGCTGGATGCTAGGGGACGGGAACAGCTCAGATTGGAATATCCAATCAGGGTAATAAGCAGAGGATGAGTGGTACCCCAGGAAGAAGCTGGCCTTTGGCTCATGGCCCCCCCACCCTGACTGGGGCTCACCGTGGCCACAATCCTCTTGACAGCAGCAGCTGACAGCTCCTCACCCTTGGGCTGCTCCACCAGCGTCATGCCCAGGTACTTGAGGCTGAAGAGCATTCCCTCGAGCAGCGTCTCCCGAGTGTCTGTCCAGTTCTCCGGCAGCTCTGTGCAGAAGGAGAGGCCTTCAGACCCTGTCCTCCCAGCCCCCATTTCCTAGGAAGACCAAGCAAGGGGCATGGGGTCGTCCATCTACCATTATTTTTACCTATAATAAAGGGCCAACATTTTCCAGTACCTACCAAGCACCATGGTAAGAAGCCTTCCATAAAATATTCTCATTAATCCTTATGACAACCTATGAGGTAGACACTTTTATCACATGCACTTACAAAGACACTGAGGCCCCGGGAGGTGAAATCACACAACCAAGTCCACAGAGCCAGCAAATATAAGAGCCAAGATCTGAACCCATACTTTCAAGTTCAAAACCCAAACTCTACACTTCAAAGCTAATACCTGCTGAGAGCAAACCATGCTATTTTCTTGCTGAATCTTCTACACGATCCTGTGAGGTGGATGTTATCCTTACTTTACAGATTAGGAAACAGGCTGAGAGAGGCATCACATACGGTGAGGAAAGGGTTGGGAGTCAGAACTCAAACCTGGGCAATTCCCAAGGCCCCAGCCTGCTCTGCTGGGCTCCATCCGCACAGCCATGGAGACGAAGAGGCAGGGAGGAGAGGGACCAGGAGAGAGGCAGGGGGCAGGGAATGGGAGAGGTGACTGCTCAAATGACATCCTATGAAGGCTGCTGGAATCCAGGGGGTTCAAGTCCCAGCTCTGCTTCCCACCACCTGCATGTGTTGGGCAAGTCCCCTCTCCTCTCTAAGCCTAGTAATGCTGAGGCCATGGTACGGAGCAAGGGTCCTCTGAAAACCCTGCCCAAGACTGAGATCAGGAAGGTTGGGAGATGGGGGAAATGCGCCCAGCTCGCTGGGTAGGGAAACAGACCGCAGGAGAGAGAGCTGGAAAGCCCCCACCTCACCCCACCCACGCGAGAGAGGGCCCTGAGCAGGCAGAGGGACAGGAGGGCAAGTGTGGTCCTCATCAGAGGTTTGAACAATCCCAAGGTTCCTCCCCAGATCACTCAGCTGGAAGCAATGAAGCCAGAAAGTGGAAGGAAGGTATCTAGGGATCCTTCCAAGCCCGATCACCAAGACGAATGAGCACCCCACGCTCCTGCCTGTCAAGGCCCTTTGCCTGTCCCTTATGATCCTTTCTCCGACGATGCTGCAGTGTAGTAGGTTATTATGATTGTAGCCACATTTAAAGAGGAGGAGACAGCTCTTCAGCGTCACATACCATCTTGGATGGGGCAGGATCCACAGAGAAATCAGTTTCCAGGGGCCAGCATGGAGATGGCCAGGACCACTTCCCTGGACCACTTTCTGGGAGAGGAGCTGGGAGAATCCTATACTCTCCCTGCTCCTCCAGGGATCCTGGGGGGCTCTAATGGAAGAGCCACGGGAAGAAAGCTTCAGACTGGGCATTACTAGTGCCAGGGCAGCTGAGGCCCTGGCAGGGCTGTGGGCCCCGCCTACAAGGCACAGCCTGGTTCGGGGGTTCCCGCGCTATCGGGCCCAGGTGGTGGTACTGGGCCCTCCGCCCTGCCTGGCCCATGCTGCCCCTCCCAGCAACTGTCTTGGAGTTCTACTTCTCCAGGGGCTCGGCCTCCCTCTCCACCAGCCAGAAGGAGCCTTGTACACCCACACCTCTCTGGTTTTGACTTGAGCAAGCCACTGTCTCTGAGACTGCTTCTTCATCTGAGAAAGAATGCATGTGTGCTGGGCAGCGAGGTGTCTTACAAGAACTTACAGGTGTACCCAGTCCCCCTGTCTGATGTCCAGGTGAGCAGGGACGTGTTGGCTGGTTATTCAGAGCCTGGCATGCAGTTGGCACTCAGTATCTGCTGAGTGAAGAAATGACCCGGACAACTCCAAGGCTTCTTTCAGGTCTGCAATGTCTCAAACCCCATCCTCAGCTCCGGTCCCCAGCCCACTGCCCTCCAGCCCTTGCACCTGGGCCACCACCCCAAGAGGAGGCCCAACCCCCGCTGAGAAGACCCCCCCCCCAAGGGACCCTATCCTCTGCTGTATCAATCATGAGCCTGTTTCATTTGATCCCCCAAAAAGAATCAGAAAGTCCCTGAGGTGACCCAGTCCTGGGTTGGGTGATGGATGTCCCATCAGACCTGAGCCTTTCTCTCAAAGAAACCAAGACCACCACCATGTCATCAGCGCAGAACAGAGCTGCCAAGTAACACAGACAACAATAACAAAAGAGCAGCTCCGACCATTACTTCTAACATTCACAGCTACCTGGCGGCCTGGCATTCTCATTCCCCTTTCAGAGGAGGAAAGGGAGGCTCAAAGGACATGTGATTTGTCACATTAGTTGTCTGTCTGACTCTAAAGCCCAAGCTCCAAGCTCCTGACCAGTAGCCCATACTACCCTCTCATGAGGCAAACGACCTTGATTTTGGCAAAAGGTCAGGAAGAAGTACCTAGAGCCAGAGGTATTTCCGCCCACACTTCCTAATTCCTGAGGCCTCCCCCGAGCAGGTACTCAGACTACTGCTTTCAACCTGAGATGCATCTGAGCAAGGATGGCCAACTACGTGCTACCATGCCTATCACTGGTGCCCTTGACAGACATGGCTAATCAACTGCAGCTCTATTCCCCCTGATTTACAGGCTTTGGACTATTTCTCAATACAAGGCTCCCGGGAGGCAACACCAATCGATCGGGGGTGGCCTCGTCCGTCTCACTATCCATACCTGCCCCACAGCGAACAACCTTCCTCCCCGCCATTTTCATGTCCCCACTCTCCCATTTCCTTCGGCTCAGCCTTTCCTGGCCCATCTCCAAAACCACTTCCGCTCTTTCCATTCCAAAGGGCCAAAGCTTGCCAAGGTCACAGATGACCTTTTTGTTGTCAAAACATTCCCCAGTCCTCCCTGACCTCTGAAATGCTTGGCATATTCTGCATTCTTCCTTCCCTGGCCTGACCCTTACCCCACTCCATGGCCTCCTTCATGAGGGCCCTGGTAGACCAGCTGCCACTCATCATCCTTGGAGACCCTCTGCCCAAACTCCTCACATGACAGATGACGAGGCCCAGAGAGGGATGGGACTTGTGCAAGATCACACAGCAAGTCAGAGCTTCACCCCGTCACCCCGCCCCAACCAGCTCCCAATCCACTACAGGCAATTCCCACAATGACTACTGGGGAATCACAGGTGTCCCAGTGTCCTCTCCCACAATCTCCCTACATGCACACACTCATTCACACGCACATGCACACACAACGGAAGCTCCAACCATGCAGAGCTTCTTCCTCGTGATGCAACATTTTCTTTCCCACTTCTATGCTTTTGCTCAAGGAGTTCCTTCTCTCAGAAATGCCCTTCCCTTTATTTGACTGAAACCCCTGGCATCCAGCCTCATCCAGGAAGCCTTCTTGAAGGCAGGACTGCCTGGCAGTTAAGAGCAAAAGCCTAATCCTAGAAACCCAGTTCTGACATTGAGTGATCTTGAGCAAATTAATTACCTTCCCTGAGACTCAGTTTTCTCATCCATAAGATGGGGGAACCAACTGTCCCCCGCTCACAGGGCTACTGTTTTGACCCTTTGATGAGATAATAAAATTAGATAATGAGATAATAAACGTAATGTGCTTATTAGCACAGAACGCCGCCCATGGTCACGCCTCTTGATGGGGCCTCGTCCCTCTGTGAGCAGGTCGCCTGTGCCTCTCTTGAGCGTGGATTTCCTTCTCTTCCTTCTCCAACCACATCACTCACAGCCAGCAGCTGTCTACCGTGTGTCTTCCTCTTGAAGGACTTCCATTCACGTGTGTCTCCCCCCGGAACTGGAGAAGGTACATTCCTGTCCAGTGTTGCAGCTCTGCCTTGTCCTTTCTCCCCTTCCCATTACGCCGTCCTCCCAGGCCCAGCAAGATCCTCCTTCCCCTCGAGGGAGGGAACCCTGCCTCTGCTCCTATACTGTCCTTCTGGGCATGACTCATCTCTTCAATGAGGTGGAAGGTCTCTCAGGCCCCACACCCTCCCTGAAGAAACCCACACCTAAGAGCACTCAATGAGGCAAACGCAGAGTTGGTGCCTACTCACCAACCAGCCACCTCAGGCTGGAGGCCACATGCTCCTTTCTAGGAGGAGCCCGGGGCCTTCAGGAAGAGCTCCCAGAGGCCCTCAGGCAAATACAGGCCTGAGTCCACAGCCCTGTTCCGGTCCTAGTTATTTTTGGCCCTGTGGTGAATAATGACTGCGCTATTTTAACTTAGCAATTTTACAGATGACCTGCTGTCAGAGTTAGCTGGGGACGGACCATATGCCCAGTTTAACTCATGGCTGCAAACATGTGCTCTCTCATCATTAAGCCCCCTGCCCAGGACTCAGAGCTGGGCAGGGGGCCCCTGTGCCCCTCTTGCTGCCCAGGAGACCCAGCCTGGCTGGTGTCTGGAACATCAGAGTGATAGCCAAACCCATGGACCAGGGGGAACCTCCAAGGGCCCTGGCCTCCAGACTCCTAGAAGCCACTAATGTCTCGGAAAGGGACTCAAGCTCTGCCATGACCCGGAATATAGCTGCTTCTCCAAGGCCACAGTGTCTTCATCTGACAAATAGGTTCAGTTCCTCAAGAGCATCATCAGAAACAGGCTCAGCATGTAAAAAGTGCCAGCAAATTTCAGAAGTTGTTAAGATTATCAAAAGAAAATAATTTAAAAAATGATCACAGCATAAGCTCTCATTTCCTGGGTACCTACTTACTCTTGTAAGAGAAAAACGTGCTGTCAAGGTTAAAACCATGGGGTCTGGAGATGGGCTGTGGGATTCAGTCACTCCACCTCCCTGGTCCTCAGTTTCCTCACTTAAAAACTGGGACAAGAAGCATGTCCACCCCACGGGGTTGCTGTGAGGATGAAGTGAGTTCACATACCAGGTGGGCTTAGAACCATGCCTGGCACATGCTGAGGGCCACTGAAGTGTGAGCTACTGTCATTACCAAGGGCCCAGGGCTAAGAGCTTGAATGTGCACACACAGCCATTTGCAGTGTTTTGCGAGGAGAGAGGCAAGGATATATTAGGATTCCCACTTTCCAGGATAAAGAGGCTCAGAGGAGTCTGGCCATGACTCTTAATTGACAGAGTCATTTAAGGCGTTAAGCATTAAGACCTGCTCGTCTTTGCCTCCCGCAGCCCCTGCTGTTCACCCATGCCCACAGCCCACCAAGCCCCTTCCCACGTGAGGCAGGGGTCACGCGCAGGCTCACCCAGAGGGGTGGGCATGCTGTCCTGCACGGCTGCCTGAACAGAGTGCCCCTCAGTGAGCAGGGGATGACCTAACTCCTTCAAGGCACATATGCCTCCCCCAGCCACCAGACCCGTGAGAAGCAGGGCCCCAGCCTCCAGTTAAATGTCCCCTGCACCTGCTGCTCCCTCTGGCTGGAAGGCTGGTCCCAGATTCCTCCCTCCTGTATTCTCACATGTGCCCCAAGTCATCTCCCTGGAGAGGCCTTCCCTGACTGCCCGCACTGACGCTATCGGAGCCTCACCTTCATCCCCTCCCTGGACACCATTTCCACACACGCCACCTGACAAGCCACCTCTCTGCCTGCAGCTCTCTGGCTACCGGAGGGGCCAATGCCCATGCACACTAGGGTATTCAGGGCTCCCATCCCCGAACCCACCGCTGCCAGGAACTGCCCCTCAAACAGAATAACTGAAGAGCACATTCTCCACTGCCCCCCAAAACTCCCCACGGGATGGCGCTCCAGTCACCCACGCTGGTGAGTGGCTTCATATTGTCCACGTTTTGGACTTTCTTCCCTTCCCACTTCTCCTGAAGGTATTTCCTGGGATCCTTTCCCAAATAGATGACTCACACTCAGATCCTTCTCTCAGCATCTGCTTTCTAGAAGAACCCAAAGGAAGATACCACTCTAATTAAGTGGTCCCCGCCATTTCCTCAGCCCACTTTATCCCTCTGCATGGTGTCACCACTACTTATCACCAAACCACTCATCTGCACCCTGGTCATTCTGCTTCCTCCACCAGACCGTGAGCACTGCTGGGAGAAAGACGGACTTGTTCACCAGACTCTCCAGTACCTATCAGGGCATGTCACATAGTCTGTGATCAGTAAGTATTATGACTTGGGGGTTTATTTATAGTATCTTTTATTGTAAATACTATAAGTAAGTACAAATAGATTCTCTGTCTCCCACATACCACCATACTCTAGCTTTTCTGGAACCTGTATCTTGTATTTCTTTACCTGCTCTGAGTTCTCTGACAGCTTGTAGGGAGCCTGAAGATCAGAGGGACCCCTCTTGGAAAGAAGGGTACTGAGGGGCCAGGGTGAGCCACTTTTCAGGCAGCTGGAAGAAAGGAAAATCCCTGGCTAGTGACTGAGATTAAATATTTATTTTATGTGAATATTTATTGAGATGGGAAAAAGGCCATGTGTGGGAGAGGGAGACAGTTCTTCAAACTCAGGACCAGCTGGGAGACAGGGGGCCGTGAGGTTCAGTGCTAAAAAGCGTGGGGTTCTAGCTTACTGTGTGACCTCAGGCAAGCTGCCTCCCTTCTTTGGGTTTCAGTTTTTCCACAAATGAAACAGTGATCATGCTAATCCCAGCTGAGGATCTTGAGTGGTTTGGTGAGGAGCAAGTCACAGCTGATAGCAGGTGTCAAGTCTAACCTTAACTCCCCTGGCTTCATTTTGGCCCCAAAAGTCAACCACCAGGCTCAGTTCCAGTTGGCCGGAACACCACCTCAGACCAAGCTACCCCAGCACCTCTACCCCAGACACACCCCACAGCGTCCCTCTCTACCTTGTGGCCACCACTGTTCTCAGGGGCTGTCAGCCGTCAGCCCATCCTGGGATGGGGCCTGCCCCAGCTCATTCCGTGGCCAGAGTCCAGGAGGCACGGTGATAAGACCCCCTGGGCTGGGGATTCGGAGTGCTACCTCTAGGAAGCTGTGCTGGAGCCTGAGCCTCCGGTCTTTTATCTCTGACACGGGTCTGTTAAGAATCCCTGCTCTGTCACCTCACAGGAGCAAATGAAATAACAGAAGCAAAAACTGTGTAAAACATAAAGTGACAAAAGCAGTAGTTACTATTTATTGAATCCTTTTGCTATTCCAGGCAAAACACTATTTCATTTAATCCACACCAAACACCCACACCCCTCCCCCACCCCCCCAGCCTGGTACTACCGTTATTTACAATTTACAGATAAGGAAACTGACAATAAGGAGGGACAGGTGAAGGTTCCACCCAGTTCATTCTGGGTCCAGAAGGCTCAGGACAACACTCTGGGGGTCTGCAGGGAAGGGGGGTTCTCCTCTCCTTTTCTCTGCAGGTGTAGATAGGCTCTGAGCCCCCAAAACTTGTTCTCCCACAGTAACAGTCATGTTGAAGGTCCACATGACATGAAGGGGGAGTGGGACAGAAGGAAACCACCAATGAGGTGCCAGTAGGAAGCATTATCAAGAATTTTCCCAACACCTCCATCAGGTTAGAATTTTTATCCCCATTTTTCTGGTGAGGAAACTGAGGGTCAGAAAGGAAAATGACTTGTCAAGATCAGAGCAGCACAAGAAACTCTTTTCCACCATCCAAGGTGGCTACCTCTCCCCCTTCCCCAGAATCAAAGAGGCTTTTAAGCTTTCTTCCCTTACCCAGCACCCCCTTCCTCCCCCACCCCAAAAGAACTGCAGGGTTCCACCACTGTAACAAACCATTATTCTCAGAAGTCCCAGTCAAATCCCTTAAGTATTTATTTAAAGGGGCTATTTAGGGGCCAATAAGTGTGGGAGACAGTGCATCCCTGGGCCAGCCCAGACCAGCCCTAATGGGTCTCTGACCCCACCCCCACCAGCAGGCACCAGCCCATGTTCCCAGTGCCAGTCTTGGTTTAGGAGGTGGCCACAGCTGGAACAGCAGAGTGGGGCAAGAGGGAGGGGAAGGGCGGGCTTTCTAGGCCCAGACACGCTGGCACTGGGAACTCGGGCTCCCCTGGCGGAGCCCTGGAAAGAAGGAAGGGGGGGGTGGGGTGTGACTGTACTGTCAGGGGTTTCTTGGAGGGGGAGGGGAGCGAGGTGGGGGGGAGGGGAGTCATCCCCTGGAGGTCCCAGGTGTTTGAAAGGAGGGTGGGAGTGTACAGAAGTCTTGGCTCGGGCTCCACATCTACCAGGAAGGCCTGTGTGACCCCAGGCAATCCACTCCCTTTCTTCTGGAGAAAAAAAGAGGGACTTGGGCTGGGTTTCTCAGGCCTCAGGGGAAAGTGCCAGGTGACGGGTTCCCTGAGAGTAATCTGAGACGGGGAGAGAAGGGGGGGGCCCCCTCCCAGCCTCCCAGACGCCCCCGGGAGAAGGGAGAAGTGGCAGCGAGCCTGCCATTCGCCTGGGCGCCCCGGGACTTCGGAAGCCCGAGGGGGAAAGTGCGAGAGAAAACAGGTTTCAAAATTAGCCAGAACGCCAGCCTCGCCACCTAGACGTGGGAAGAGGAGGGGACGCAGGGGTCTGGAAGGCTCGGGGTGTGGTACCTTCTGAGACCCCACGCTGAGCCTCGCCCCCAACCTCAAGTAGGTACCTGCGAAGCCCGCTCACACCTGAGTCGGTTCCTGGACGCCTGGGGGTCAAAAGACGACCTCAAGGGCTGGCGGTGGGGCGGGGGGCACGCGGGCTCCCACCGGCCGCGGACCTCGCGGCTAGGGCGCAGGGCTGCGGGCATCTCCCCAAACCCCGGTGCCCACTCCTCCTCCCCCGGGCACTGCCTCCCCTCCCGCTGAGCTCCTGTCTCCCCTAAGCTGCCCAGCGCGGCGAGGTGGCCAGGTGCCGGGGTTCGCGCAGGTCTCTTCCCCTCACCTGCGGCCCCTCCGACTGCCGCCTGCACCTGGGGAGCCCGAGCCCCGCTCTCCCCCCCCCCCAGCTCTGCCCCTCCTCCCCAGCCGCACAGAGCCGGGACGGGAGTGGGAGCCCGACTTGACCGCGGGCGACCCCCAACCCCGCAGGACCGGGCAGGGCCGCAGGGCACCGGGCAGACCGCGCCTCTGCCCCCGGCGCCCGCGGGAGGCCGGTCCGCTCCGCCCGACCCCCGCCCGGCCCGGCGGACGCGCACACACTCACTCCGATGCCGGCCGCCGCCCCCCCAGCTCTGCTTGGCGAGGCTGGGGCTCCGGATCAGCGCCCGCCCGGCGGACTTGAGCGCGTCCATGGCCGCTCCGGCTGCCGCCGCCAAAACTCCGTCAGGAAAAACTTTCCGCCGGGGCCGCGCGACGCGCGGACTCCGCGCTCCTCCCCCCGCGGCGCGAGCTCCACGCCGACGTCCGACGGGGCGGGATGATGGCCGGCCAGGCCCCGCCCCCGGCCGCCCTGCCTCGCCCCGCCCAGCCCGGGCTCCTGCTCTTGCTCCCCAGGAGGTCCCCACAAAGGGCACCCCTAAGGTAGAGGGCCGAAAGCCCTAGAAGCCCCTTCTTTTCCTCCAGTTCCCAATCCTCTTATTCCTAGGATTTCTAGACAGCCCAGCTGTAAGGTACTTGGGGGCCATTTTACAGACGGTCCAGACTCAGGGTCGGAGAGAAGGGCGCTGCCCAGGGCAAGGGGAGGCTGAGAAGAAGTGGGAGTAGTAGAACTTTGCTGGGAGCCGGGCAGGACCATAACAGTTTTCCTTAGTAAGACCAGCTGGGCATTTTACTCATCCAACAGCACCCAGGCTGCTCGCTGGCAGCACCTGGGCACCTGGGCTGCCCCACCCCACCCCACTCCCCATGTAGTGATATGGCCCGGGTGTTATGCTCTAACACTGACTTGCTCTGTTACCTTAGGCAATTGCTGCCCCCCACTAGGTCTTAATCTTTATCTGTCAAAGGAGATGGGATCCTATTACTGGCGTCTGCCGGTGGTCAGGTGCTGCATGACCTTGACCCAGAGCCTCCCAAGCTTTGTAGGAGGCATTTTGAGGGGGGGGGGGGGTCTGGATTCTAGAAATCCTCCAGCACAGATAGTCTAAGTTCAGGATTTAGAATTCTCTCTAGGATCCTATACCCTCCCGTTAGGCTTTGCAGTCAAAAGAGCACATGCCTCCGTGCCACAGTCTGGCTTCTTCTAGATGGGGAGCTTCGGCAAGGTGAACTTCAGCCTCTAGGATTGCTGCTAGCTCAGAAGACAGGAGTCCTGTTCTTGTGTTGGGGGAAAGACGGGGTTGTGCTGTCCCCAGCTGGGTAGTGAGGCCCCACTGACATTCCTTTCTCGGTTTATAAACTAAGTACTTTCTCGGCCATCTGTCCTTTGCTCCTCCAAAACCCTGCAGCCAGCCATACACCCACTTTACAGATAAGATTCCAAAGTCTGGGAGAGAAGCACTCAAGAAGGGTCTCTGCAAGCCAGAGGTTGGGATCAAGCTCAAACCCAGGCTTATAGGCCAGAGTGGAATGCTGGGGATTTGAACCTGACTCCTTCTTTTGGTGGTTGTGAACTCACTTTTCTGAGCCTCATCTGTAAAAGCAGCGACAACACCTATTCCAGCAGGCTCTCTATAAGAATTAAAAACATGAGTTCTTGAGTTGGAAAGGCAGAGAGCAGTCCTTGAGAACTCACCTATGAAGTTGCCTCCTCCAGAAAGCCTTCCCTGACTGCCACCCATCTGTTAGGCTTCTGTCTTTGGGATCTCACAGACCTGAGCTCTCAGCATTGTGAGTGTTGCTGCTGCCTATTTCTGCTCTGATTGCCTCCACTAGACTTTGGGTCCTTCAACGGCAATAAGTTTTTCTGATTCATTTCTGAACGCCTAGCAAGGGGTCCAAATGGAGTTGGAATATAGTCAATGTTCCTTTCCTCTCTCTAGCTTTTTGCCATATGAGGCTGTCTTCTCCCACAAAGGGCTGTGGCGTTGGGTAGGTAGGTCCTCAGGGCTGAGCCCCCCAGCTCTCTTAGCCTGAGCCTTCTGGGTCCTGGGGCAGTAGAGAGAGAGCATTCTGGAGCCCAAAGGAAAAGCAATCACCCAGGGCTGGCAGGTGAAGGGCAGCTGGTGGTGTCCGGCTGGCAGGGGGCACCATATGGGCCTAGTGAGCAGGCAGGCCTGGGAACGCTGAGCCTGCAGTGAAGGCTGTTTCCAGGCCCATCACATCGTCCCGGAGGTGACTTGCTGGGAGCTGTCAGCCATGCGTCCCCCACAGAGGGGCGGCCTGCCTGTGCCCCTTCTGCCAATCCAGGAACAGAAGCAGAAACAGAAGGTCAGAGCTGCAAGGGGCCTCCTCTGAGGTCACCATGTCCAAAGCCTCCTTTCACAAGTGAGGAGCCTGAGGCCCAGGGAAGGGCAGGGACTTGCCCAAGGTCACACCGCAAGCCAGGACAGGGAGCCAAATCTCTTGCCTCTCATCTTGGATGCTTATAAAAACAGAGAGAGAGCAGAGAAATCTTGAAAATACACCAGTATTCAAGGAAGAGTTTTAAGGTGATTTTTTTTTCTTTTCTCTCTCTCTCTCTCTTTTATTTTTCTCATCTGATCTAACTTTGTAAAAAAAAATTTGCAATGATCATATAGCCTTTAGTAATCAGAAAGAAAAATAAAAGAGGGAGAAGCTACCTCTGGTTATAAGTGGCTTTTGTCTTTAGGAAAATGGTGCCAGAATTGTAATTTTACTGTTTTCTCCCCCACGGGACCCTCATGAGACCCCAGTTAGAGAGTGGGTGCCAGCAGGTTGGGAGGGCTCTCAGCTTCTCTCCAGCTATCACTTGGGCTTGTAGTGGGACCGAGACAGAAGCCTAGCCTAGGACCACGAGCCCTGACTTCCTCAAGTGATCTGTCCTCCCTACTTGCCTGAGCCAGTCCCTTTACCTGGGTTGGCCTTAGTTTTTCCATCTGTAAAATGGGAGTTTTTACAGCAGAGTGTGTTTTCTTGCCCCCCATCAGCAGAGCACAGGGCTTAAACACGTGGATACTGGAGCCCGAGATCCTGTCTCCCCTACTCCTTTACTTCATGACCTTAGGTTGGTCACTTAAATTCCACAGACCTCAGTTTCCTCATCTGTAAAATGGGGATTATATGTCATGGATGGTTGCAAGAATTAAAAGAGTTAACGTTTAGAACGTGTTTAGAATTATGCCTGGCCTATAGTAAGTGATATATATATATGTGTGTATATATATATAGAATCACTTTTCTGACTGGATGAACAGTAAAGGTGGAATGGCTATTATTATCATAATTCTTGACTGGCCCTCAGGGAAGGGAGCTCTCTTGCGATTGGAACCAGCCTGGCCCAATCTGAGCTGCGGGTAGTCCAGCCTCCCAGAGTTCCCATCCCCACTCCCGGCTGCTCAGCACTCTCTCAGGGAATCAGAGGGAACCTGGGTTACTGGTGAGTCAGAAGCCCAGGGATTACTGCTTAGACTTGACCTTTTGCCTGACCCACAGACCTCTCCTGCCTTCTGTGTCCCATTGATCCAACTGCTCCAACCATTTGCTTCTGAACCCTTCCCTCCTCAGACCCTTCCCAGGCTGCTTCCTCTTCCAGACACATCCAGCCAGATTGCCTCCTCAACTTTTCCAGACTACCCACCTTTGCCCCAAAGATCTAGTTGGCCTCCTCCCTAATACCCAGTCACAGCTACCTACACACTTGTCTTCCCTGGCAAGCAACGACAACAACTGTTTGACCTTGGAGTTCTACATATTTGGGCCCTGAAACCAAATCCTCCATCTATATGTGTGCAATCTTAGCCAACTGGGCTTCAGTTTCCCCATCTGTACAGTGGGCATAATACCTGCTTTAGAGAGCTTTGTAAGGCTTCTGTTGGATAATACGGGGGGAAATGCTTGACCTAGTGCCTGCCAAGTGGCAAGTGCTCAGTAAATGGTAAGTCTGGCTACATTCGTGTTTTATGGTTCTTGGTGAACCTGTTTACCTCCTCCAGCAGCTGAGCATGCCCCAAGCATGGGAGCTGGGAATCAGCCTTCACCCCAGGGTTCCCTGGAGCAGCTGACCAGTGCCTGGCAGTGAGGAAGTGCCCAGTACACATCCAGGGACTCCACTTAAGTTCTATCCTCTGGTTCTCAGCATGTGCCCAGCAAGCAGGTGACCCCCTGCAGCTGGAGAAGCAGCAGCACCTAAAGGGGCTGGGAAAAGTGCTCCTGAGGGGCCCCTACCCACCCAGACTGCCCACCTAGGTAGGACCAGCAGCTGTCTCCTGCTTCCACAGGGAACTCTTTGCTTATGGAGCTGCGGAGCTAATGAAGAATGACAAAGCACCATGTAATTGCCAGCAATTGATGAGTCCCCTGCCTCTTCCTGCCCCTCCTTCCCTTTGCCCTCCTTGGCACTGTCTGGCCTGGAGGCCTGGCCCGGAGGCAGGCAGAGTGGCAAAATGGAGCACAGACTAGTATCAGGAGACTTGGAGGCTGGCTGCTTCTGCCACCCTCTGGCGTGGGACCCCGGCCTCCATTACGTTGGCTCCGTTTCCCCATCTGCAGGGCTCCTGACCTTGTGTTAAGAGCAGGGACAAGGTTACAGGGCCAGGCCAAAGGGCTCTGCGGAGGGACTGGGCTGCACCTGCCAGGTGGGTTGAGGCAGACAGCCTCAATAAGGCAGACAGCCCTGGGTTTAAGTCCTAGCCCCGCCTCTCACCTGCTGTGTGATCCCGGGCAGGCTGCTTACCTTCTCTGAACAACAGATTCCTCATCATCAAAATGGGATTTGTTTGACAGCACTTAGCTCTTACTAGGAGAACCCTCATTTGTCCTAGATGTGTGCGTGTAACAGAGACTCTCTGGACAAGCGCATCTCTATCAAAGTCAACACAGAAATTAAGGGTTGAAAACTTGTAGTGTAACTTGACCGAACAATTGTATGTCTTTAATGTCATAATAGAAAAAAGGCTTGTATTTTTTTCATTTTATTTTTTAAGTAATTCATTTTCCTTGTATTTTATAAAAGTATTGGTCTGTGACAGATTAGAAATTTTTTAAAAAGATGGTCCTTCTCCACGGATGGTTTGAGAAGCATTGCTTTAGAGAACCTTGTAAAACAGATGTGGTAACAATCTTGCCACATTTTCATAGTTCTAGGGTGTAATTTCCAGGGACCTTCCACTTCCGTGGCTCCCAAGCCTTCAGGATCAAGACCAAATCTCTTAGCCTGGTTTCAAAGTCCTCCTGACTAAAGTCCCAACCTGCCTTCTCATCTTGCCTCCTTCCCCATGACACAACCTTGTAATACAACCCTGTGCTCTCCCCCCGCCTCCTCGCCTCCTGAACCTCCCATGCCTTCTCACTCCTCCATGTCTTTTTCCTATGCTCCTCCTTCCATCTGGAATGCCCTTCCTCACTTTGCCCTTAAACCGGCAAACTCCTATTCATCCTTCAAGACCCAGACCAAATGTCCCCACTCTTGGGAAGACTTTTCCAGTGCCACCCCTGCACCTGCCCCAGGCAGGGCTAGTTGCTCCCTGCCCCAGGCTCTGTAGCGCAGCATGCTACGGGGAGGCAGGACTTGCAGAGGTGAAGGCTACATGCAAGCTCCAGAGTCAGAACAATGTGCGATTTGGACCTGACGGTGCCGGCTGTGTGATCCTGGGCAGGTGCCTTTGTACTGTTGAGCTTCATTTTTCCCATCTATACAGGGGCATCTACTGTGAGGAGTAGAGGTGATGTGTGAAAAGTTCCCAGCACCATGACACATGGGAGAGACTCGAGATACAGCGGCTCTTGTTAGCTTTATTTCTCTGGTTGATAACGTCCCAGGTTGTTTTCTCTGTCTCCCAACAGACTGGTTGCTCCTTGAGAGCAGGGACACTTGAGAGTGTCTGATGTACCTGGATGTTTCCTGGGCTCTGTGCGGGGCTTTTTGCGCAGAGGGTGTGTTTTGGAGAAGGGTCTCTGGCTGCTGCCTGCCCCATGGTGACAGCGGTGTAGGGAGGAGTGAGGGTTCGAAGCCCACAGCCAAGAAAGAATTCTTGAGACATCTTTTGGTGCAAAAAGGTGGTTTTATCAAAGCACGGGGACAGTATCTGTGGGCAGGAAGAGTGGCCTCGGCATCGGGGTCATGAGAAGTGGCCCATTATATGCTTTCAAGTTGGGAGGGGGTCAGGGATAGCGTAAGTCTCTAAGGAATGTGGAAGCCAGGTTTCCAGGACCTTGAGGGGGCTAGCTATTGCTGGGGAAAGGTCATTTATTACCGTCTAATAAAACCTGAGTCATGAGACCCTTCAGGTGTATATCAGGGGGCCATATGCTTGGGGGGTGATTGCCAACATGTATCTTGCGGGGGGGTGGCGGGTAGAGATAAAGGAAGTTTCCAAAGGAATTCTTATGTTGAAGCAGATTTACAGGATCCTGGCGGGCGGGGGGGGGGGGGGTGTCAGGCTAGGGTTGTCTTTTGCCCTTAGCAAAGTATTAACATCCAGGCAGCTGAGTCCCTAGAGGAATGTCACCCTGCCTGTTTGAAGGACTTGTCCGTGGGCTGTAGGTGGTAAGGAAACCCAGTTTTTCTTTTGTCTTTGTTTCCCACATCCCGGTGGCTGTGGCTCCTTGTCAGTGGAGTGCTAATTCACCAGCTCTGTGGAAGAATTAAAAAGAAAAAGACCCTTGATTTTTTATTTTTTGCCAATTTCCATGCAGTAAAAACACCCACCAAGGCCAATTTCAAGTGACCAAAAGTTTAACAACCAGCTTAAAAAGTTCCTGAATATTTTAACAGTCTGTTCCTGTGAGCCACCCAGCTCCAGCACCCAGCTCCAGCACTCAGCTCCAGCACTCAGCTCCAGCACCCAGCTCCAGCACCCAGCTCCAGCACCGAGCTTCAGCACTCAGCCAGCGCCCAGCTCTAGCACTCAGCTCCAGCACTCAGCTCTAGCACCCAGCTCCAGCACCCCTCTGGGTGTGATTGCTCGGAGCAGAAGGGCAGCCAAAATAGGCTGGGGCCCGTAGTTGAAAGACAGGCTGTTTCCCGTGCCCTCTGCCCAGCCAACCCATTGGGGGCCACCCAGGGAAGGGCCATAAGGTCGTGAAGCTCCACAGACGTCCTCAATCATCCCCTCCCCCAGGCCTCCAGCCCCTTTGTTCTCTGTGAAATCGCCCATCCATCTCCTCCCTCAGCAGGAGGAACCAATGGACCCAGATGATCCATCAGTGACTCCTGGGGGCCTGGGCAAAGGGGGGCTACCTGTGCAGCCAACAGGGGCCTCTTCACAATAATGCTGTCCCCACCGCCGTTGCAGGTAACGCTGAACACCTCGTCCCCTCGGTCACAGTGGGGAGCAAAGACAACTTGTGCACAATCTCATCTCACCTCTCCACCCCCTCCTCTCCTCTGGTCGTGCCCAGCCTCCAAGTCTTTGCCTCTTCAGTCCCCTCCGTTTGGAATGCCCTCCCCCTCTCTCCCTACAATGCCCAGCTGCAACAGTACGTCAAGAAGTCATTCACCAGCAGAAGTCTCCGGAGCCCCCTCTGCAGGTGCAGTAGCTGCTTGCCCAGCTGCCCTGCCCCTCCCCCTGCAGCAGCAGTTCTCCTTGGGATCCTTTTTTAAAATACCCTCTGAGCCCTCCTAGCTACAGGCAGGGCGGGAATCTGTGCCCTGCCCCAGGACCTTTGGATATAGGGGACTGAGAACCTGACGCTGAGAAACCCTATCCTAACTCACCAGGGCTGTGGCTGATTCACACGGAGGCCTCTAACCCCCCACCAGGACCACCTGCTCAATATGCCTCTGTGGGATGGAATCCGGCGTCTGCTGCTGAGGTCACCCAGCCTGGAGGGCCCATCCTCTGGGCCCAGCTAAGGGCTGCTCTGTACCCCTCCCCTGGGGGGCTGAGCACCGCGCGGCTGGTGAGCTTTGGGCTGAATTGTGTCTCCCCACCGCCCCAACAATTCATACGTTGAAGCTCCCCAGTGTGGTTGTGTGCGGAGGTGGGGCTCTCAGGAGGTAATGAGGGTTAAGTGAAGTCAAGAGTGTAGGGGGCCGAACTGACAGGACTGGTGGCCTCTGCAAGGAGAGGAAAGAGAGAGAGGGAGAGATCGCTTGCGGGGCGCTGTGGGCTAGGTGAAGACTGTCACAAAAAAAAGGTGCCTGTCTGCAAGTCAGGAGGAGAGCTCTCACCAGAACCGAATTGGCGGGCACCTTGGTCTTACACTTCCCAGCCTTCAAATCTGTGAAAAAAACCACAGTTCCATTCCAGCCAGCCAGCCTGCAGTGTTCTGTTCTGGCAGCCTGAGCCAACTGAGGCCCACGCTGTGCGCTGTGCTTGGAATGATTTTCCCCTATCTCGCAGTGGCTCCTTATGTCTCCCCGATTTCAGCTGAAATGACATGTCAGAGGGGCCCTGCTCCCGCCTCACCAGAATGCCGGCTCCACCGCGGCTGGAACCTCGGGTCTCCCGCTTAACTCCCTGAGCCTTGAACCCTAGGCAGCATCCTGGGGCTTGAATAAATATATGTTACGTTGTTCCTAAATATCCAGAATCTGACCACGAATCCTTCAAGGCTGGTCTGTGCCACCCTCATCCCTCTCCTGGATGACTGCAGTGGCCCTCTGCTTGTCTCCCTGCCTCCTACAGTCTCCTCTTAACCCCTCAGGAGCCCCCGCTAAGTCTGACCATGTCACTCCTCTACTGAAAACCCTTCCTTGACTCCCTCTTTCTCTCAGACCAAAAGTCCCAGTCCCTAAACTGTCCCCCAGGGCCTTGCTGTACTGGCCCCTTCTCCCTCCACTCCAACCACACGGGCCTCTTTGCCACCCCATGGATGCATTAGGCACATGCCCAAGCCACAGGGCCTTTGTACGTGCTGTTCCCTCTGCCCACAACACCCTTCCCTCTGGAATCTGAGTGGCCCGTTCCTTCTCATTCTTCATCTTTGCTCAAACACCATCTTCTCACAAAAGCCTTCTCTGAACATTTGTTCAGAATGACAACCGTTCCTCCCTCCAGGGCTGGATTCTGGGAGCGCCATCAGCCCCCTGGCGCAGGACCCTGTGCTCAGAAGGGCCCTGTGCTTTGCACTTTATGTTCCACCATTGCTGTCTTGAGGTTCTTGATAATTTTATCTTTGGATTTGTGCGTCGTAAGTGAAGTCTGGAGGGACAAGGGAGTGTGTGCCAGGAACTTGGCCTCAGCTCCCACACGTTGCCCTGCTCCCCTGCCCACTGGTCCCTCTGGCCCCAGCCAGCCTCCTCTCTCTGGCCCCACCCAATGACTGTGGCTGTCTTGGGCGCCTGGCAGGACCCTGATCACAGGCACAGGACAGGGGTGGGGAGGTCAGGGGGCACGCACCCCACAGCGTCTTGGGGCGGGGCATGGCCAACCCCGCCCTGCACTGGCAGTGCCAGGGCACATCTGGTAGGTGACCGGCCAGAGGCCACATCTCAGTGGGGGTGAGACCTTGATCCAGGTACTGAGCACATCCTAGAATGGAAGTTTCAAGACCCTTGGGGGTTGCCCATCTGCCAAGGGTTGGAGCGGTGGACCCATGGAGAGGAGTTGAGTTCCACAGGGCCCCACCTTCATCCGGGGTGCTCAGCTTCAGTCCTGCATCTGGTGGGAGGGACGATTTGGTAGGGGAACTTGGCAGCCGGCAGGTTCTGGAGAGTGGGCGTGTCCCCCATAATGGGGCAGGGCCCCTGGGAACCCAGGGAGTTTTTACCCTGAGGGTCTCTCTGTGCCGGGGAGGGCTCCCTTACTCTTTGGCTGGGTGGATCAGCTCTTCCTCTTTCCAGTCTTTCTGTTTGGCCTCTTCTGGCAGGTTTGGGGCACCCTTGGGGACAAACGATGAAATAGAAATTGTGTAACTTCTGTGATTCCACATACAAGTTGAATGCCCTAATATTTTCATTTCAAAGCTGGCATCGCACAATATGAAAATGGACGGTAAAGCGCATGCTGATAATTTAAATTTAATTTTTTTCTTTACTTCACGTGACATTAAATAGCAAATAGAAAACAGTGACCAGTCGAGAGAGAGAGAGAGAGAGAGAGAGGAGAGACTGCAGAAAGAAGGAAAAATTTCCTGTGTACCTTTAACAGCTCGTTTTCTCTGCTTTTAGAACAGGGCCCCACGTTCTCATTTTGCACTGGCCTCCACAGATTATGTAGTCAGCCTCATCTCCATCACTCCTGGTCCTGTTGTTTTGTTTTGCTTTAATAGCCCACGCTGCATCTTGGCACGACGGAACTGACTTATTTCTTGTGGTTGTCTTTTAAGGTCTGCTTCCCCCACCAGCATGTGGGGCCCACGGACGGTGGGGGTTTTTTTCTGTTTGGTTCATGGCTGTATCCCTAGGCTGCAGAGGTGCCCAGGACGTGGTAGGAGCTCCAGAAATGTTCAAGGAATGTTGAAGGAAAGGATGTTACCTGGGAAGACAGGCCCGTCCAGGTCTTTCCTCTCCCTCCCTCCCCAAGGCCAGTTTTGTCTATTTTGGCTGAGACAATTCACATTAGAACTTTGTGGTTCTGGCATTTCCTTTTCAGAGCTCAGTGCTTGAGCTTTGGAGTCTCCCACCAGCCCCAGCTCTGTCGGCGTGAATGGTGGTGGCTCTGCAGGCTGTGAGGAGCCCACCAGGTGCCTGGACCAGAGGCTTCTCTCCTTCCTGGAATTCCTTAGGTCATTTCCATCCATTGTCTTTGGCTACAGCTTCTTGAGTTAGTCTTTCCACCTCGGCAAGGTTCCCTTGCTGGTTTCCCCATCTGCTTCCAGGTCCAAATCCTTTTTGGCTCCAAATCCTTTCTTGGGGTTTCCCTGGCCCTTCCGCCTCTAATGGCCAGGGTGACCTTGGGCAAGCCTCCCACTGTCCTCTGCGGAGGCCCTTGTGAGATGAGGGGGGCTGCTCCTGCCCTCCCCCCAGGGAAGGACGGCAGGAGCAGAGTCCTTTAGAAGAAGAGTGGGGGTTGCTTCTGTTACGTTTGAGTGTTGGCACTGAACCCGGATGCCGGGTGACCCCATTCTTTCCCCTTCCCCTTTAGTTACACAAGAAACCGTCCTGCTTCATTGCCGCTGCGAGCACCCCTGGCCATTCAGTCATGCCGCAAACGTGTGAGGCGACAGAGCCCGACGTGCGGGGGTCCCGACTCCGCTCCCCCTTTTCTCCTAAAGAGAATTCTGGCTGGGACTCCTCAGCCAGGCTCTCTCCCTTCCCAGCCCTCTTATTTACCGGGAAGACGAAACTGCTCTTTGTGGAGGCAGAGAACCCCCCGAACAGAGCACCGTAAGGAGGACAGGGGCGTGTCCCTCTCTCACACAGCAGGCCCGGTGAGTGTGCCCGTCTGGAGACCGCCCGCGCGCTGCCCATGCCGAGAGCCATTTCCTTCCACCGCACAGCCCTTCCATGCCGCGCGCCCCGTCGGCACCTCCCTGGGTTGTTGCCATGTCTGGCCTCAGCCAGCGGGGAGGAAGAAGAAGGCACGCGGTGACCGGAGGCCTAGGGCTGAAAGTGGCTTCCATCACTGCAGTGACCTTCCAGGGGCTGCGACTTGGTCCCCGGGGCCCCTCCTGCGAGGGAGGCCGGGAATCGGCACGCCTAGCGGAGCAGCCCTGTGCCTGGGAGCAGGAGGGGCCCAGGGCTGGGAGGACAGCCGGCTCTCTCCCTGTAGGGTGACTCTGGCTTTTGGACAATCTGGTTTCCAGGTTTTGTGTTACAGAGAGGGAGAGGAAAAGGGACAGGGCCGTGGAGGGAAGACGATGTTAAGGGTATTAGAGGGACACAAGTCACGGCTGGGATTATCCTTAAATTACTTCTGCTTACTGGGCTGTGTCTTCTTAAGTGCTCTGGCCTCGTGGTGCGGAGACTGGGCCCCCAGAGGTCCCCGGAAATGTGGGTGACGCATGCACAGTGCACTTACAATCTCCCAGACCCTGTGCTGAGACTGAGGACACGGGACACGGTCTCTGGCCTCCAGGGATCTAGTCCAGTGGGGAAGACAGATTCGGGATTAGAGGCAAGTCCAAGCTGCTGAAAAGACGGGGAGGGAATTAACTCGGGCTTGGCGGGGTGGGGGAGGGGCGGGCAAGAAGGGACACAAAAGGGACATCATGTGCTAGATTTACCTCTGCTTGTGGGAAACACTCCATGGTCTAACACACTGTACTCGAGTGATGGAAAGTAAAGGATAGAAGATGAAGTAAAGATTCTAGAAACTCAGGTCCTGGCCCTGCTGTTGTCTGTCCTAGGGCAAGTCCCTGTCCCTCTCTAATCACCTGTGCTTCATGCTGCGTGCTGGGCCACGGCAGGCACCGTCCGTGCTCTCGGAGGAAGTACTGAAAGGCTCAGTCGCCGATGGACAAAATACAAGAAGGTGACCCCTTCTCCAGGCTGACGTGGGCCCCACGCTCGGACACACGTGGAGACACGTAGATTTCAGCCACCCTTCCCCCTTGGCTTCCCACCCTTGTTCAGTGCACAGCCCACACAGCCGAGTGTAGGGAGCAGCCTTGCCGATCATCTCCTGAGATGCTGTGTGATCCCAAGAGGGTAACTGCTGTGAAAATTCCCCAGAACCCCAGTAATCCCTGGAGCACCCTTCTCACCAGTAGGTTTCCTTTCTCCTGGACTCTGCAACAGGTGGAGGGCTCCTGTGGGGCAAGCCAGGCACTTAGAGCACGTGGTTAAGGAGACACTCTCCATCGGGGTCGGGGTGACCACTGAAAATGGGTGCCTCCATAAATTTTGCACCTGGGGCACCTCACCTCCCTCACCCTAGCCCTAGCCCTGTTCTACAGGATTCCCACAAATCTGAGTGGTGGTGGTGGTGGTAGCGTTTCAAAGGAAGGTGCTGGAAAACCACCTCAGACCCTCTGAGGGCAGCTTCTCTCTGCAGCCAGGAACCACGGAGGAGACTGCACCCAGAAGAGGAGGCACAGGGAAGGTGGACTGTGGTCCAGGGAATGGGGTGCCAGGAGAGGCTCTGTGCCAGGGAACCTCAACTTCACCTAGAACGGTAGGGAGCGAGGGGGAAGGCCAAGTAATCAGACCCCTTGCTTGTGATTTGAGAGGTCTGTAGGAAAAGCTATGGGGAAGGGGTAGGGAACAGAGGAGGGCGACGCTTCCAGGTCCTGAGTCACAGGTGACAGAGCAGCTCCCACACCCACGAGGAGGCAGCCTCCAAGGGAGGGTGGCCTCCACTTAGCCATCTGCCTTCAGGACCTCCAAGGTCCACCCCAGTGTGGCTCTGGAGGCAGGGAGGCTGACACTCAGATGCTTTTTTGCAAGTCACAGACTCGGGCCACCTTGAGTCAGTTAGGACATGTCTGGGCCAGGGTCCCTCCAGCAGGGGAAGCCAGGACTCCCAGCCCCGGAAAACCTCGGATTGCCTCCCGAACTTCCCAAACATTCAAACCCACTTTCCCTTCCGCCTGTGCGGATAGCTACTCGGTGTTTTTAGAAAAATCAACTCATCTCCACTTAAATAATTTATTTTCCAAAGGAAACTATGTAAATGGGAAACTTGCAGGATCACCATAAATAGAAGCTATGCAATCGCATGAAGACAATGTTAATCAAGTAGAGATCTGAAATGCTAGCTGGATTCTGGTGCCCCGACTGTTCTGAATCTGAGGGCCAGTCTTTGCGTTCAAAGGGAGGTTAGCCAAGGTCAGAAAGGTCAGGAAGACAGATAGTATCCACCTGAGACTCCCCTTTCACGTCAGAAATGGAACCATATTCACCCACCGTACGTCTGAGTCCTTTAATGCGGCATCTGTGGCCGCCTACCCCATTTCACGACGAACGTGTCCCCTCCCTGTAAAAAACGGCTCCTAGGGACATGACAAGAGTGACCTTTCAGAGTTGGGGTGGGAGTTGCTGGGGCCTCTGGTTCTGGGAAAGGGCTGGGCCCTGAGCTATACCCCAGCTCAGCCTGGTTACTCCTGTCTCAAGTGAGCCTTGAACCGGCTGGTTTCGACACCCTTTAATCTCAGTCATGAGGGAGCTGGTATGCAGTAGTAGGTGCTCCGTAAATGCGTGAATGCAGAGCTCTTGGAAGAGGGACGGGTCAGACCCCGGGGGGCTGGGCGCTTGGCTATGGTGGGGGCTCCCAGAGGGGCTGGTTCATCTCAGGGTCCAGCCTCATCCCTGACATGGGGGACCCCAGTTGTGTGGGCCTGGAGTGAGAGGGTTGGGGCAGACATGGTCCCAGAGAGAGGTCACTGGGAGCGATGGGTGTGTGCACAAGGGAAGCTTGTGGGTTTGGTGTTAGTTTTGTGGTGACAACTGTTTCCCACGACTACAGCGGTGATAAAAACAGGAAGTATCAAGCAGCTGAGACCTTCCTCGTCTGACTTCAGCCTTCCTCCATCCCACCAGCCCTCTGTCTCCTCCATATCCTCACACACCAGGCTGGACACCTGTCTGGTGTGAGGGCTTCTGAGAAGTCCCAAGAGCCTCTCCGCATTGGACCAGCCCCACAGCCCACCCTCGGATGCACCAACACCACGGGGGGGCACCAGGTCTGCCGGGGGGTGCCCGGGGTGCCTGGCCCAGCCCTGCCATCCTCTCAGTGTGGCACATCGGGCAAACCACCTCCCCGGACCTGGATTTCTGCATTACTGAATGGAAGGGGCTTGGTGTCTGATGGCCCAGGGCTCTTCCCTCCCAGGCATCCCACAGGGTCCTGGGGGCAGCAGGAGGAGCGACTGGGGAGACCGGAGAGGGGTCTCCCTGTGGCAAGAGCAGACACGAGCCCAGTTTCCCGCAGGCTCCAGATCCAAGACATACATGGCCCTGAAGGGTCCCCTGGGCCAGGGAGCCAGACCAGCCCGCAGGAACGACAAAACAGAGAAAGGCATTATAATGGGGACTTGCGGTTTTGGGGTGGAGGCGAACAACTCTGCAGGGGGCTGGCGGAGGGGCCCTGACCATTGTTTACCCATTGTTTATTTATCATCATTATTTGTTTTATTTATTTTAATTTTTTATAGTATTGAGGTAGAATCCATATAACATAAACGTCACCATTTTAAAGTGTGCAATTCAGCGGGTTTTTAGTGCAGTCACAATGTCATGAAACGGTCCCCACTAATCCCAGAACATTTCCATCACCCCCAAATGAAACACTGTACCTCTTAGTAGTCGCTCTTAGTTCCTTCCTCCCCTTGCCCCTGGCAGCCACCAATCT